TACAAACTCAAAGTAAACCGCACCAAACTTGATTGCAGGAAATACGACTTCAGCAATAGAGTGGTCAATGTCTGGAATACTCTACCCGACTCTGTAGTCTCTTCCCCAAACCCCAAAAACTTTAACCTTAGACTGTCTACTATTGACCTCACCCCTTTCCTAAGAGGTCTGTAGGGGGCGTGCATAAGTGTACCAACGTGCCTACCGTCCCTGTCCTATTGTTTCTCTTATTCTTTTATTTTTCTTATATGTACCCATTTCATGTATTCACAACTATGTATACACTTATACTTATTATCTTGTAAACAATTGGCAAATCAAATAAATAAATAAATAAATAAAATAAATAAAATATTATAAACTTATGCTATAATGTGTCGTATCATATGTATATAACATATCATTATAGACAATATGATAGACGATAGGACAATATTGTAAAATAATGTAGAGGACCTGATTTCTCACAAACAAAACTAAACCTGTATGGCAATACCAATAGGATCTCTACAACATATGCCATCTACAACCTACAGTATAAGGACTGTAATAGCCAGGAGAGACAAAGGAAAAGATTAGCCGAATGCACCTATGAACACCAACTAGCACTCAGGAAACACACTGGCAACTTGCTAATTTCACAATACATGGACAGACTCAACCTCAGTTTCAAATGAGCATCTTAGACCAAGCCAATAATGCCAGGGGATTCTGGAAGTTTGGCATTTAGATAACTCAAGCCACTAATAGACCCATAGAGATAAACCACACTTACATAACATTTAAACAAGACAATACAAAAATTAAGAAGGAAACAATACCAGAACCCAACTCCTCCAGCAGCCAACCCCCAGATAAGCAAGGAATAACAGCAGGTAAACAAGCAGGCAAGAAACAGGAAACAATACCCTAATCAAGGAACTAGTGAGGAGAAAACCACACCAACAATGGCAGGGCAAGCTAGTATATATAAACAGGGAGCAAACCAGGGAGTATCCAGCAGGTTCTGACCAGTTCTGAAGAACCGGTAGCGGACATTTTGAGTAGTTTGGAAAACTGGCCAATACCACCACTGACTGGCCCCACCCCCATCTATTCTTTGCCTCCCATTGAGTCCCAGCTGATCAGCTGGGTCTTCTTTGGTTGCCCTGAACAGGAGAACGGAGCTGGAAAGCAGGTTACTGGGGTGGGGAGGGAAGGGGGATTTTGCTGTAACCTTCCCCCAGGAGTGGAGAAGGAATGGGGATTTTGCAATATCCTTCCCCTGCCACGTCCACCAAGCCACGCCCACAGAACCGGTAGTAAAAAAAAAATTGAATCCCACCACTGGAGAAAACCCACACGCACTTGCTTTGATAATGTTACCAAGTCAATGAAAAGTCTGCAAGCAAACATCCAATCTTAGAGTGCAGCAAGGACTCCACATATCTCTACATAAAACTTCTCCATTTATTTGCCTTCTAGATTGTTTGATTTTACCTCTCATGATTTCCATTCAGCTATAAATTCTGGAAGTTGAAGTCCAGCACCTCTGGAGGGCAACGGATTCTGGAAGTCTAAGGCAGAACGCAATGCCTTTTACGATAAAATATGTCTCTTCCGTTCAAATTCTTCTTTTATTCACCTATCTTGGCTTATGCTGCAACACCAGGTTGTCAAAAAGCCACCTCAAAAGTCCCTTTTCCAAAGGAAAGAAAAAAAATTCCAGAAATAATTTCTGAAGGAAGTTTGAGCTGCTAGAACATTGAAAGGGCCAGCCCAGCAAATTATTCTGGAAATTGAATAATTATTCAGACTGGATTTTTTTCCCCCCATTTATCATTGCATTTCATGGAATGTGCTTTTTAAAGGTCAGGAGTTGCTAATTAAGTGGATTCAGCAGGAAGCTGACAAATGACTTAAAATAGTCACTAAAGAGAAATTAATCATCGGAGAGAGAAAACTTCACAAAGGAGCACAGTGTGGAATTTTTTTTCATTGACTATGATCACCTAGTTCTTTTTTTACTAATGGCAATAAGAAGGGCTATTGTTTTAGTCAGGGGCCATCACATCAAGCACAACTTAGGGGACTATTTAGTTACACACTCACCACTTTGACTTATCTCCACACTCCAATAAGAGATAGTGGGAATGTTCTGGAAGAGCTGTGAGTTCCCATGATCTTTTATAGCTGCCTATCTACCTTTCTATTTATCCCAGTCATTTTTCCTAGTCCATCATGCCAAGGAAGAAAATCTGGTTTAAAATAAATCGGCATATGCGCATATGAATTAGCCTGTTTAAATTTTCCGTTATCTTTTAAGGCTTTCAATTTTAGTTAGGCACCAATGACCATCCTAACGGGCATCCTCGTTTGGGATTGATCTCTGAGTGGGACACTCATCCCCATAACTGTTCATACCCTTCTTGATCTGCCCCTCATTAAATCTCCCATAACTCCATAGAAATTGCGGAACAAGGGATGGAGTGATAACTCCACTCTGCCAGCCATGGGAATTAGGGGTATAATGAGGCTAAACATGATGCCTGTGATGGCTTCAATTGGAAACTAACCAAAGAGAGAAGCAACCTGGAATTAAGGAGAAACTTTCTAACAATGAGGACAATTAACCAGTGGAACAGCTTTGCCTTCAGAAATCGTGGGGACTCCATCACTGGAGGTTTTTAAGAAGAGACTAGACAGTCACTTGTCTGAAATGTTAAAGGTTCTCCTCCTTGAGCAGAGGGCTGGACTAGAAGACCTCCAAGGTCCCTTCCAGCTCTATTCTATTCTAAATTCATACATAACCAAATGCCAAACATTGTTTAAGCTGATGGGAGCATTTGTTTGTTTGTCCAGGACTCTTGCGTTATGATAGAAAGATAGATAGATGATAGATAGATAGATAGATAGATAGATAGATAGATAGATAGATAGAT